ATGTGACATGAATATGAGAACTCTTCGTTGATCGTGTTCAGTGAACTCATTCTCTATTGAGCACCTACGTACTTGTCTTGATGTCACACACACCAATGACTCGAGACTAGTCACTCTCCCTGAGAGAAGACATAGCACGTACTGATCTTAACGGACTGTCAATGCCCAATTGACAATCCTATGATCAGGAACGTTTAGGATGTGTCAACGAAAGAATGGTCTCATGAATCTAACTTCTTTAGATCGCATTCTTCCAATCACATATTCCTTGGACTTATCGTTTAAGCATATAACATTTATATGAGACGGCTCAAACAATAATGTTTGCCCTTAATATTAAACTAGATTAGTTTAACATGTGAAATGTCCATAAAGTATCATCATATGATTGGTTTTAGGGCACATTTCCAACACATCAACCTAATTCTCTCCCTAAGCCGCAGCCACCATTCATCATTCCACCTTCAATCCGCAACTTCCATCCAATTCCAGCCACCATCCAACCTTGCCGCAGCACTCCCATACATCACCCACACCATTCCACACCTCCATACACCACCCACACCCCTTGCCGCAACCCTTCACCTCCCTAAATCCATTCCCAACCCAAAATAACATCCAAAAATCACCCACACCATCTCTGCCGCAGCAAGGAGAAGAAGAGAGAGGAGCTTGAAACGTGCAGAAATTCAAGTGGATTCCTTGGGCGTTTTAGGTGTAATCAATCTTGTGTTCTTTATGTTTAATTTCAATTTTGTTTCTCTTTCTGTGAACATGAGAGGCTAAACCCCTAGTTAGCTAGGGGGTGATTCGAAACCATGTTTATGCTTGCAATATGAATTGATTACCCTTGGTTGGAATTTCATGAATTGTGGATTCAATTTGTTCAACTGCTTGATTGATAACTTATTTGTGTATGTTTATTGAGAGTGCACGCTTAGTTTTCATGCATGAATATGACGCTAGAATATAAGTGAGTTTCACCTAATAGTTATGAACTTATATTCACAAGTAGTGGAGGTTGCTTATAAACAATCGCGTTAAATGAATTCTTGGCACGAGTTTCATGTTCATCATAGTAACGAATGCCTCGTCAACACTTATAGTTTTCATGTTGCTTAATGATCTTTGATTGTATCTTTATTGTGCTTTTCACGTAAAGGACTTTTGGAGAATGTTTTGAATTGCGTATGCGCTGTCCCATCCAATTCATTAACTTAAGGAGAACTTGAAGGTTAATTTAAGCGAACCTAATTAACCCGGGGTGTTGAGTTTCATGATTCATCGAAAGACCAACTGAAAAATCATCTTATATGCAAGTGTGACATGTGTGGAGAAGAACCTTCTAGTTAGCATTCCATCCATATTTTCATCAAATTCATATTCACATTCTGTTTTATTACAATCTGTGCATTTTGTGTAATTTCTTCAAAAACTCAATCCCCCTTTACTTTAGTGTTCAATTTAGTTAGAAAGTGTCTTAGTTTGTGTTTCTAAGTGTTTTGATTCAATTTATCACCCAAATTCGTCCAAATTAGGTTAGGTGCTCAAAACTGCCCAGATTGTGTTTTTAAGGCAGTTTTGAGTGTTTTGGGTGCTGTTTGAGTCTTTTGGTGTGTTTTAGTGTTTTAAGTGTTTAGTTTTGCATTCTTTGAGTCTAGTTTAGTGTTTTAAACTTTGTTTTACGTTTTTGAGTCAGTTTCCAAGTGATTTAGTAAGCCCTCCTAATCCCCGGTTTAGAACGATCCCTACTTATACATATACTACAATTGTCAAAAGAGGGTTTTAATTTGTGTGCTTATTTAGTTCGCATCACCTGGGCCTGACGGTATGTCATCAGGGTTCTACCAAAATCATTGGGAGGTGGTGGGGCATGATGTTTGCAATGGAGATCGGTATATTCTGTCTACTGGTCATATACTACAAAAGATCAATTTTACACATGTTATTCTTGTCCCTAAGACTAAAGATCATTCAATGAGGTCTCAGCTTAGCAACTTCATTTATAAAATATGTTCCAAAGTCTTAACAAATTGATTAAAACAAATCTTGCCACAAATCATCTCTCCCTCGCAAAGTGAGTTTATTCCTAGTAGGTTGATATCAGACAATTGCTTGGTGGCTGCAGAGATTGCACACTTTATGGATAAGAAAATGTGTGGTTGGAATGGTGTGATGGCTTTGAAACTAGATATTGGTAAAGCGTATGATCGGATAGAGTGGGGTTTCTTGGAGCAAATGATGCGAAAATTAGGATTCGCGGAACAATGGCTTCAACTTATTATGATGTGCGTTTCCACGGTTTCTTACTCATTTAAGCTTAATGGGGAACCAGTTGGTTATATTCATCCAAAGCGTGGCATCCGCCAAGGAGATCCATTGTCACCATTCTTGTTTGTTATTTGTGCAGAGGGGCTTTCCGTTTTATTTGATGCATGGGAACAACAAAGAAAATATGCAGTGTGTGTATTTGTGTGGGTGCACCAAGTATTCACCATTTATTGTTTTTCGACGATAGCTTCATCCTCGCAAAGAGTGTGTGCAAGTAAAATTATTGTTGAAAAGCTATAAAGAAGCATCGGACCAAGCCATTAATTTTTCTAAGAGTTGCGTTGCTTTTAGTGGGAATGTAAATGAATACGAAGGCCAACTACTAGCAGATTGCTTAGGAGTGGCGCGAGTTGAATACCATGATCCATATTTGGTCTTCCGGTGTCTGTAAGTAAGTTGAAGAAAGCTACGCTTGCGTATTTGAAAGATAAACTATGGAAGACGCTATATGGGTGGCGAGGAAATTTGCTGAGCAGTGTTGGCAATGAGATTTTGATAAAAACGGTGGCCTAAGTGGTACCAATCTACACAATGCACATATTTCTTCCGCCCAAAACCCTTTATGAAGAGTCAAATAGAATTGTTGCCTAGTTTTGGTGGGGCATGAAGCAGGAAAGCTGAAAATACATTGGGTGAGTTGGAGGAAAATGTGTAAACCCAGAGGTGAAGGAAGGTTGGGGCTTAAAGATTTATATGGTTTTAACTTGGCGTTACTTGCCAAGCAGGGGTGCAGGTTCATACAAAATCCCTCCTCACTTGCGACCACGTTATTAAAGCATGATACTTCCATTCTACTGACTTCTTACAAGCACCGGTGAAGAAAAATGCATTTTACATTTGGAGAAGCATTGCTGAAGCTCGACTAATCATTCGTAAAGGATCTAGATGGGCTCAAGGTCATAATATGGGGTGATAGCTGGATACCGAGAGAAAACTTTTTTAAGGTTTTAAGCCCCATGTTGCAAGAGTGGAGTCATGATTTAACAGTACAGAGTTTGATGGCAGACTTAGAGAGGCCTACTTGGAATGAGGGGTTAATTCGGAATTTTTTCTTGGAGAAAGAAGTCGAATCAATTTTAAGCATCCCATTGAGCCTATTCCTACCACCTGATTCCTTGATATGGATTGCGGAAAAGAATAGAGTGTTTACGACCACAAGTGCCTATCATGTGGTGAGATCATGTAGCAAAGTGTGTGGTGATGTGCCTGGTGGTTCTCACTTGAATGCTGATATTAAGTTTTTATGAAAAGCTCTTTGGAGAGCCAAAGTGCCTGGCAAAGTTAAGATTGGCGTTTGGAGGTGTTGCTGGAATGCCATACCGACACGAGTGAATTTGATGCAGCGTAGGGTCTTAAGACTCTTAACAGAGGTAAAATGTTTGTTTTGTGACAGAGAACAAGAGACGGTAAAACATGCCTTGCTAGATTGTCCTCGTTCGTGATCCATATGGTTATTATATATGCCGGGACTTAGAACAGGCCATGACGGACATGGTGGACTAAGAGAATGGCTGTCGAGGTTGGCGTCTTCTTTAGCAAATGATAGGTTCGACTTGGTGTTGGTTTTTCTGTAGAGCATATGGAAGGACAAAAATGCATATTTATAGAGGGGTGTGGCAATGAATTTAAGAAATGGCATAGGAAACATAACTGCAAAAAAGTCAGTACACCCCAAAAGTGGAGGAAACCTGCAGCGGAAAGGATGAAGGTCAACTTTGATGGGGTATGGGAGAAGAGGCATGATCAGGGTGGTATTGGAGTGGTAGTTCGTGATGCGAATGGAAACTTTGTGGTTGCAATGGCGCGGCACATTGAAGGAATCAAATCCCCAACGCTGGCAGAGTGTATGGCTGCTCGAGAGGCTGCGGCCTTTGCGCAACGGTGGGTTGGGGCACAGGTGGAATTAGAAAGGGATGCTCTACTAATGGTTGTAGCACTTCAATGGGATTCAGCAGCAAACATGGGTCAGTTTGGTCAAGTCCTTGATGATACCCATTAGCTAATGGATAATATTCCTCAGGGGAAGGTTTCATTTTGCACTTGGGAGGCCAATAATGTTGCACATCGCTTGGCAAGGTATAGCTTGATTGTAACCAATTGTTTAATGATTCTCCATTTGATGATAGTAATTCCATTTTGTAATTTGGTGCGGGACGCTTCTTGTCCCTTAGACCGGGTTGAATCACTGGCAATGTTTTTATCGAGACCCTTAACATGCACTCCAATCTTAGCATTGTATGTATTCCCTTATTATTAATGAATATCGTACTTCTTCTAAAAAAAGAAAGGTTGTGAAATACGAGGTCTAACAGTAACAGGTGTGAGATGAGATTTCTATTAAAGGCATTATATCCATGTCTAGCAATATTTTTTATCGATTTGAAGTAAGATGAAAATTGAACTTGATAAGTCGGGAAGGAAAACCTACCGTTGGTTTAGGCATCAAATGTCATTGACATTGACCAAGAAAAGAAAAAACAAATAGGAAATTATTATACACCCCCTATGTCAACATATTTTCTTTTTTAATTCCCCAAACACCCCTATGCCTATAGAGGGCAAACACAGCAGATATTTCAAAGTTGCTGTCCAATATTAAATTTCGCTTAATTTCAGGGGGCAAAGTGCAACTAATGCTAATTAAAAGCAACATCTTGACATTCAAGTCAACTAGCATTCCTTGTTGGTATAGCCATCCAATTGTGCTTTCAGCAACGCAGAAAAGAAATAAATTCCTTGCTGGTGCTTTCAGCAATTCAACTGGGTTTCACACGGCGGAGCCTGCGGCGGTGTTCCGAGGGGGAGGGGCGCTCCATGACGGGAGGAAAATGGCAGCTGAGTTTGCAGATCAAGCAGCAAAAGAGGAACTTGAAGCGGAGTTTTTACTTGGGCTCTGCTGGTAAGTGAAGAATCAGCTTTTTCAGAATTTGGTTGGTTTGGTATGCAGTTAATTTCTTTTTGTTCTTTAAGCATTGAATTATTTAATTTCTTCTTCTAAGCATTGAATGATCTAAATTTGCATTAAGAAATTAAATAAAATGAAAGATAAAATGGAGCAACAAAACTACCACTTGCTCTGTGTACGTGGATTGGTACATCCCATCCTGTTTTGTTGTTCTTGATTCATTAGACAAGCGGAATTCGAGGAGCTAAAGCGGATTTTAGATCCCGGTGGAGATAAATGGGATTCCCCCACTTGAAGATGTAAAAAAATGTGTAAAACTACGCAATGTTTTAGCAACTCCGGCACCGGAGATGCTGTTTTTATTATGTACCCGCTCTTTATTACCGTCACCATCAGAATTTAGAGTCCTTGTTTTAAGGAATGTTTTAAGGAATGTTTTATTCCATGTTTTAAGGAATGTTTTATTCCTTGTTTTATTCCTTGTTTTAAGGGGAATGTTTTTTTGTTCTTTCTTAGTCTTCTTCCTTATATATACCCGAACCATTGTACATTGCAATTCATGAATTATACATCACAAATTAAAGCTATAATTTCTTTATGGTATCAGAGCAGGTTCATTTGTAACCTGTCTCTACAATTCTTGCTGCTGCGATTTTTTCTTTCTTTCAAAGTCTAAGCCATGACTGAAGAAAGTTCTGTCAACCATGATAAGGAAACCCGGCACAATCTCTCTCCAAACTCCTCAGACGTTGAGGTTAACACCAATCAACGTTTATGTTCAGTTCTCTTGAACGAGTTCAATTATCTTCCTTGGTCCCGAGCTGTTTCACTAGCTCTCGGAGGCAAAGGGAAGTTAGGGTTTGTAAATGGAAGCGTGGAAGCTCCAGATCGTTCTTCCTCTACATACAATGCATGGCTTTGCAAAGATCAACTTGTCATGTCCTTGCTGCTCAACACCATGGAGAAACATGTTGCTGAAATTTTTAGCTACTCCAATTCCGCCCATGATCTTTGGAAAGCTTTGCAGGATATGTATGGAAATCAAAACAACTATGCACGGGTCTTCCAATTAAAGAAGGACATTGCCAGTGCTCAACAAGAAGGGAAAGCATTTGTTCAACACCTTGGGAGTCTCAAAGCCATGTGGAATGAGTTGGATGTATATCTCCCTCATACCACAGATCCTACCATTCTCCTAAAACGAGCTGAGGAAGACAAAATTTATCAGCTGTTAGGGAGTCTGAGCTCTGAGTACGAGGACCTAAGGAGTCACATCTTGATGAGTCAAGATCTGCCTACCTTCAACAATGTTTGTGCAACTATCCAACGAGAAGAAGCAAGGAAGAAGGTTATGAATGTTGATCACAATCCTAGATTAACGGAGACTCGGGCATATGCATCAAATTACAAGAACTCAGAAGCCAAGGTATACAAGGGAAGAAACACACATCTAAAATGCAAATATTGCAATGGTGTTGGTCATGAGGAAGACAAGTGTTGGGAACTTCATCCTGAACTCAAGCCTAAGTTCAGCAAAGATGGAAGGATGATACCAAGGTCCTCACAACAATTTCAACCTCATTTCAAGGCAAAACTTGCTAATGCTCAAGCTCCTACTATCCCACAAGGATCCATGGAGTTCACTGCCAATCCATTGTCATTGATCAATGAATTTGCAGCTTACCTACAAAGTAAGGGGCACGGAGGAGGCTCACATGGTCAAGGCAATGAAGAGGGTAGTCACACAGCTATGTTGGGACAATTTGCCGGATTTCTTGCTGGAAATGAGAAAGTTCCAAAGGGAAAAGCATCAGGTATACTCAAAGCCTTTACTACTGCCCTATTAACTAGTACTGAAACTGATTGTTGGATAATTGATTCAGGCGCCACAGATCATATGACAAACAAAGTTACAAATTTACATCATTTTAAAAAATTTTCAAGCCCCTCACATGTGTCTGTTGCAAATGGAAAAAATGTCTTAGTTTTGGGAAAAGGAGAAATAAACTTACTCTCTCAAAAAACACCTTCCACTGCCCTCTATGTACCAACCTTTCCTTTTCAACTTTTGTCAATTGGAAAGATCACCAACACCCTAAACTGCCGTGCTATTTTCTCACCAAATAAAGTGATGTTTCAGGATGTTCTCACCATGAAGATGATTGGTGAAGGGGTCTTCATAAATGGCCTTTACTACCTGTGCAAGAATGCATGTTTCACTCAGGCTCTTCAAGCTCAATCAAAGTCCATAGATGAAAACCAACTTTGGCATAGGAGATTAGCTCATCCCTCTGAACTTGTCTTGTCGAAACTGTTTCCAAATTTTTGTAACCCTTATCCTACTTGTGATACTTGTCAATTTTCTAAGTTTACTAGGCTACCTTTTGGTAATTCAATGTCTAGGACAAGTAAACCTTTTGAAATGGTACACACCGATGTATGGGGACCTGCAACTGAATCAATGGAAGGTTTTAAATATTTTGTTCTATTTGTTGATGATTTCTCTCGAACAAGTTTTCTATATCTTATGAAATCAAAAAGTGAAGTCCCTACCATTTTCAAAGACTTTCACATGCATGTTAAAACGCAATTTCAATCAAACATTAAGGTTTTAAGGTCAGATAATGGCACTGAATTTCTATCCAACAATATGCTTCAATACATAAGTTCTCAGGGTATCATACATCAAACCAGCTGTGTGGGGACTCCCCAACAAAATGGAGTAGCCGAGAGGAAAAATAGAGATCTCTTGGAAAAAACTCGTGCTCTCATGGTTCACATGCACGTTCCAAAGAAATTTTGGTCGTTTGCCATCCTTACTGCCACTTATCTCATCAATCGACTTCCAAGTCGTGTGCTAGGGTTTAAATCTCCATATGAAGTTCTTAAGGGGAGGAAAATAGATTTGACACATCTCAAGGTGTTTGGTTGTGTGTGTTTTGTTCACATCCAAACCTTGAACCGTGACAAACTAGATGCCAGGGCAGCCAAGTGTGTGTTTATGGGATACTCGACCACTCAAAAGGGATACAAGTGCTTCAATCCAGTCACTAAGAAGTGCACAGTTTCAAGAGATGTGAAGTTCGAAGAAGACTATCCCTATTTTACAAGTCAGGGGGAGGATTTAGTTGACATGTTCCCACTTCCTCAAAACTTTAATTATCCGATGTTGGAAAATAGATCAGTCAGTGTAAGTCCAGATTGTGAAGAAGTTCAAACTGACCAAATTACTGCCAGTGAGAGTGAAGACGAGCCCTACTCTGATCATTCTCCGCCCTCTACAGAGTCTCAGGTGATTAAAAGAAATCCTCCTCGAATCAGAAAACCTCCAGTCAGGTTGCAGGACTATGTTACATATGCCTCACGACATCCAATCAATGAATGTATCAGCTTTAGTAAGTTCTCAACATCTCATGCTACATTTCTCAGTGAAATTGATAAGCACTATGAACCAAGAAGCTTTCAAGAAGCTTTTCTTCTCCCACAATGGAACCAAGCCATGAAAGAAGAGCTTCGTGCACTGGAAGAGAATTGCACCTGGAGCCTAGTTCAACTACCACCAGGAAAGAAGGCTGTTGGAAGTCGTTGGATTTACAAGACTAAATTCAAAGCTGATGGATCTATCGAGAGACACAAGGCTAGACTTGTTGCTCGAGGTTTCACCCAAACCTTTGGTGTAGATTATAAGGAAACATTTGCACCGGTGGCCAAGATGAACTCAGTCAGGGTTTTACTGTCAGTTGCAATCAATTGTGGGTGGTCACTCTACCAAATGGACGTGAAGAATGCTTTCCTTCACGGCGAGCTGCAGGAAGAAGTGTATATGCAACCTCCTCCAGGCTATGATGGTATTAAAGGCAACATGGTTTGTAAATTGCACAAGGCAATATACGGATTGAAACAATCACCAAGAGCTTGGTATGCCAAGCTCAGTTCTGTTCTGGAAAAGGCTGGATTCATGCGAAGTAATGCTGATTCTTCGCTATTTGTAAGAACTGGCACCAAAGGGAAGTTGGTGGTCCTCATCTATGTTGATGATCTTATCATCACTGGAGATAATACCGAGGAGATTGAGGCACTAAAACTCTCACTACATCAAGTTTTCGCTATCAAGGATTTGGGAAGGTTAAAGTATTTTTTGGGGATCGAAATGGCAACATCTTCAAAAGGACTGTTTCTACATCAACGGAAATATGTATTGGACCTCCTTCAAGAAGCAAAAATGCTTGACTGCAAGCCTGCTATCACTCCTGTTGATTGTAAACTGAAGCTCAGCATAGATGGAGAAGCCACGCATGATGTAAGCTACTATCAACGATTAGTAGGTAAGCTCATATACCTCACTATCACTCGTCCAGATATCACATATGCAGTGAGCTTGGCTAGTCAGTTCATGCACTCTCCCACTGTTGATCACCTTAACCTTGTTAAGAGAATCCTTCGTTATCTTAAGGGTTCAATTGGGCAAGGAATTACAATGCATAACAATCAGTCCACTGTCATTAGTGGCTACACAGATGCAGACTGGGCAGGTAATGCAATTGATAGGAAATCAATCACAGGCTATTGCACATTTGTTGGTGGAAACCTTGTCACATGGAAGAGTAAGAAACAACAGGTAATTGCTCGTTCCAGCGCAGAGGCTGAGTATCGAGCCATGGCAGCCACTGCTTGTGAACTCATTTGGCTTAAAGGGCTTCTTTCAGACTTAGGGTTTCCTAGTTCTACTCCTATGACGCTTATGTGTGATAATCAGGCAGCCATGCACATTGCTGCCAATCCTGTGTTCCATGAAAGAACCAAACATATTGAAGTGGATTGTCATTTCATCAGAGCTCAAGTTCAAACGCAAATCATCCGGACCATGTTCACACGAAGCCATGATCAACTAGCAGATCTTTTTACAAAGGCACTAGCATCATCTCAGTTTCATCGGTTATTGGGCAAGCTTGGCTCAGTGAACCTCCTCGATCCAGCTTGAGGGGGAGTGTTGAAAATAATGAGTTCCTTGTTTTAAGGAATGTTTTAAGGAATGTTTTATTCCATGTTTTAAGGAATGTTTTATTCCTTGTTTTATTCCTTGTTTTAAGGGGAATGTTTTTTTGTTCTTTCTTAGTCTTCTTCCTTATATATACCCGAACCATTGTACATTGCAATTCATGAATTATACATCACAAATTAAAGCTATAATTTCTTTAATTGAATGATCTAAATTTGCATTAAGAAATTAAATAAAATGAAAGATAAAATGGAGCAACAAAACTACCACTTGCTCTGTGTACGTGGATTGGTACATCCCATCCTGTTTTGTTGTTCTTGATTCATTAGACAAGCGGAATTCGAGGAGCTAAAGCGGATTTTAGATCCCGGTGGAGATAAATGGGATTCCCCCACTTGAAGATGTAAAAAAATGTGTAAAACTACGCAATGTTTTAGCAACTCCGGCACCGGAGATGCTGTTTTTATTATGTACCCGCTCTTTATTACCGTCACCATCAGAATTTAGAGCATGAGCGGTGACTAAGAGTGTTAAAACTGGTGGTAGCGCCCCATTTAACACCCCAGCACCATATGGACTCTTATCGTTTGGTAATAGGTTATTTTGTATAATTCGGTTTTGTAATTACAACCAAGGGGAGCTGATAATTTTGGTTTATTGGCAGAAAAGTGATGATCTAGGGGAAAACATTGGTTGTATCTGTCAGTTCCACGCCTTCATCTGCAGGTGCTACACCTTTCAGACAATTACAATAGTCAACCTCAATGGATTCGAAGAAATTCATGCCCAAGTTGCTCGATCTTTTGAAAAGAGCCAAGGCTGGGTTCAAAGATCCTGTGGCAGTTGGAGACTTTGAATCTATTGAGAAGAAGCTTCACCTCATGGAAGAAATAGATTTGCTACCCAAAGTGAAGCTCTTTGATCAAACTCTGTCGAAGCAGTTTACCGACATAGAACGACAACTTGGAAAGATTATCTTGGGAGCTGAAACCACTTACAGCAAAAACGAGGAAATGTCCAAGGCCCTAGGTCTCGTGAAACGAAATGTCGATCAGATAATTGAGGACTCGATGCCTTTAGGGAAGAAAATACCTACCCATGCACCCATCCAAGAGTCACAGGTGCATTGGTCTACAGTCGATCAGTCAGGACTAGATCAGAAGATGTCACAAGAGTGGTCACAACTGGGCCTGGAGGATATAATTTATAAGACTCCTGCCGTGGCTAATATAAGGAGGACTTATGAAGATCTTGAAAGCATGGATTTGAAGTTGTGCTTCCTCTCTTTCTCAATCTTCCCGGATGGTTCCGTGATGAAGAAGAGGCCTCTGATTTACTGGTGGATTGGCGAGGGCTTCATCACGTCCACCCAACAGAAGACAGCAGAAGAGGTAGGAGAAGATATATTTGAAAAACTTATGAGAAAAGGCTTGATTAATCAAGCTGGCTCAAATGCATCCTCCTGTCCGTTTGTAAAAAGTTGTGTATTGAACCCTTGGATCCATCGTATGTTGATCTCCTTGGCAAGCGAAGCTAGGCTGTTTCACTTTGATTCAGGATGGCAAAGAATGCCATCTTATGATACCTTAACCTGTAGGCGTGCATGCTTAGTTTTTAATAATCAAATTCGTCAGGGTGATGATGGCCCAAAGGTGGACGATCTGTTGACTGTATTCAATGTCAATGTGCAATATCTTGGTTTGAAAAAAGAATGGCTTAATAAGTTGAAGAAGGTTGGGGTTCTTCAGCTTGGGCGCTGGCAGGACTCGGCTACGCATCATATTGAGGTGGATGATGAAGACTTCGTGAACCAAGAAGATGTGGGATTTTTAAAAGGTTTGGGGACTCAGAATAAGCACTTGAAGTATCTTAGCCTCAGAGGAATATCAAGAATTACCCAACTCCCTTCTTCTATCCTTAATCTTATAAGCCTTGAGATTCTGGATCTTCGAGCATGTCACAACTTAGAGACAATGCCTTTAGATATCTCCGCATTAAGGAAGCTCACCCATTTGGATATGTCGGAGTGCTACTTGCTTGAACGCATGCCAAAAGGGCTTGACAAACTATCTTCGCTCCAAGTTCTGAAAGGTTTTCTCCTAGGGCCTTTGAAAAATACTCCCTGTAAACTTGGTGATCTTGCCAAGTTGAAGAATTTAAAGCGGCTCAGTATACACATGGGGAATGAGTCTGAAGTTCAAAAGGGGGAACTCAACAAGTTGAAGGACATTTCATCTCTTTGCCGCCTTAAAATATCTTGGGGTTTGGTTTCTTCCTTGTTAAAAGACCAAATTGCCAATGAATTCTCATTTCCGCCGAATTTGGAAAAATTGGACCTCCAAGGTATCCCCCTAGAACGCGTACCAAAATGGCTGAACCCGAGACAACTGGGAAATTTAAAGAAGCTGTACATAAGGGGTGGAGAACTTTCCAGCTTAGATCATGGGACCGGTGCTATGTGGAAGGTAGAAATCTTGCGTCTCAAGTACTTGACGAAATGGGACATAGATTGGCCAAAGTTGAAGGGGTCTTTTCCTCGTCTGCAGCACTGGGATTTGGAGAAGTTCCACTGTCACGAGATTAAAAAGGACGTAAGATGAAGAAATCGGTTTGGAGTGAAGCTGAAGGCTAGGAAGTAATTTAACGATACGATCCTTCGCCCAAACTTAGCCTAGGAAGTAATTTAACGATACGATCCAGTTCATAAACAATGTCTTTAGGCTAAGTTTGGGCGAAGGATTTCCAAGTCCCCGAGGGATTGATGCCAAGTTAGCAAGGGGTGGAGCACAAAATCTTAGATAACAGAAGTTGGTGGTGTTAGCGTCGTCGTCGTGAAACCGTGAAAATGAGAGGCCTTGGTGGTGGTGTTACCCTTTAAATTCTTAATCTAGCTTTGCACGTCTTAATCGTTCATATATGTAATCTTAACGCTCATAATTAGTCATGAAACTCTGACTAGTGCCGATCATGCATGTTGGGTAAAGTTTCCATGAAAGCTGTTTTTGAGCAATTATTTGGTAATAGACCATAAAGGGTTTTTCCAAACGATTGTCTTACCTAACTACTTAAAAAGTATCACAAAAACGAGGATTGACCAACCACCGAAAACTAATTAGTAGACTTACACTTATCTAAATTCCACTAAATTTTATATGCCGGCACCAGACGCTAAGGTACACTCACGCAAATTTTCGATATTTTTGGAGTTAATTTCTATTTTAATTAAATCCAACAAAAACAGGACAGGAACAATGTAAATAGCTCGAAAATACAAGGAACTAAGAAAAGACAAAGTGAATTTGAACAGTTCAAATATACTGCGGATCATCTACAAGAACCTTGAAAACAGTTATATGGAAAGAGAGGTATGAACATGGTTACGAAAGCTAGAACCACCCGCCGAAATCAATTTTCGGGTTAATAAAGTGGAAACTAGCATTTATTATCATATAAAACCCTCGATTGATTCTCTCTATCGTGACTTGTTCACTGTTTCCATCGACACCACATGTACATAATGTTCAATCATCCCTTGTTCAATCTTTTAATAGGGGACAAAAGAGAGGGGAATGAAAGCACCGAGCCTCGTTTGAAATCACAGTAAACAGCCTTTAAAACCCTTTTCCAACTCTTGTGCATCCAAGTTCTTCCCTATGAAAACTATCTTGTTTGTTCTTGGCTCGTTGGGGCCCCACAGCCGATCGGGTGAGCCTTGGAATATATCATGGACTCCCTGTTACCAAATGGAAAAACATTATTAAGAAAATATACAGAAACGAAGATAAACATCGACTAAATTTGTTCAGAACTGCATATCTAACTTCTTTATCAGAATCATCACCAAGTAAGAACTTTGGCATGCACGAAGAGTATCATGAGTAAACAATAATGCCATGATTCAACAAATGCGTTAAAAAAAGACGTCAACATTAGCAGTTTCTCTTCCCCAACTTAAATTGAACCCTTCCACGAAAACTCCCACTCTCATTTAACTTGGTAATTTATTTACAAGTGACAATTGACCATTACTAATAAAGCATTCAGGTTAAAGTATCACATAAGACAAAAACAACCTTACCGGAGACCAAGGTTCAGAAATTCAGACTTTAAATTGTCCTCACAGGCAATGCTCGGGATAAAGAAAAGGCGATGCTTATTCCGATGAGATTCTCATACCAATTATCTCAATTTCAAATATACAAGTGAATGATTATAACACTCGATGGACTACTCACCTGGAAGACAAATCTCTCATTCATTCCTTGAACAGATAGTAGACCTTTCATGCGATATATGTCCTCGCTTCATTCCAACAACAGCATACCAAGCCATATGTTAGCCTGAATTAAATTAAGACGAAATCAGTAGTCTTTGCCAGGTTTTCTTTCATACAGTCCAGACAAAGACACTAAATGCAACTGGCCATCAAATGTGTACTTGTGTCATTCAAAGGCAATTAGGTAAACTAAAAGACAAAGGAGGCAATTATCATATATATTGCAAAATAAGACGAAACAAAGATCCAACCCTTTCAAGATCTAAGCTCCCTTCACAAACCATGCTGACAGAAGAAACACCAGGATCATGAACATGATCATGGGCGTGGTGATCATCATCATGATCTGCATATCCATGTCAAACGTGGGGATATTATTCCATAAATCCATATAAAAAGCAGTAGTACTGTCAAATTACAATTTTAGTGTAAGATCAGAACTCATAAAGCAAAACAAAATATTATCCAACTGGAAACCAAAACTAAAGCAACAATATGAGTAACCATGTCAAAAAGCAAATAAAATAAACTAATTATCTATTTGAACCAAGAAATGCAAAATGCATGAGAGAAAATATAGGATAAGTAGAGTAGGAGGGAAAAGGGTGAGCTGCTGAGCAGTTAAGGCAGTACAGTAAAATCTATCCTTAACACTTCAGTACTTGCCACCTTTCTTACAGGAATAAAACAGGGGAAAAATGGTAAATAAATTGACAGGGAGAAAGAGAAAACTTAAGATATCTAAATGGGCAAAGTAGACAGAAAAGTTGTGCTATTTGGACAGGAACTCAGCTATGTTTAGTTCCTTAAACCTTTCTTAGTGCCACTTCCACAAGGACTGAAAACGCAGCACTCACAGATTTAGGGATGCTGATAGGAGCATATTTATACGACTTAGTTAGCTTGTTTTCTTGCATTTAAGTAGCTAAACTATGTTAATTATAGTGTTTAAAGTTATTTTCGTGCAATTCCAGGTTTTAATGTCAAAGTATGCAAAAAGAAGCAATTTGGAGCATTCTAGAGCATTTTTGGGCCAAGATTGGATAGTGCAAGCATGGTGGCATGAGGATGGACGAATTTGAAAGGCTTGAATTCAGTTAGGGAGTTGCAAGGGGGCCTAAAAACCTGATTTCTAGAAGGCTACATTTCAGCCACATGCACTCCCATCCTTTAATCCATTGCAGCCACATGCACTCCCATCCTTTAATCCATTGCAGCCACATGCACTTCCATCCTTTCATCATTGCATCACAAATCAGCCACATGCACTTTGCCTTTTCATCATTGCACCACAAATCAGCCACAAGCACTTTGCCTTTCATCATTGCACCACAAATCAACCACATGCACTCCCATGCTCTCCCATTAATTAATTCAAGTCCATATCTGATTTCCCTAGGGTTCTAAGTGCCTATATATACTCATATTAACCCCTAGATCAGATCACCACCTCTCATACACATTCATTCACGCCAGAAATTCATTCCCTCTCTCTAACACAGCCATACTTCACCATTCTTCATATTTTTTGCCCAAAAACACTCCTTGCCTTCCCCTACATCCATCCCTACCCTAAACACATCATTCTACATCACCCATAACCCCCAAAACTCACCAAAACCCCTTGTGCCGCAGCAACTAGAGGAGAAGAGGCTTAAACGTTCATACAATTCAAGATTGAGTTGTTGGAATTTTTAGGTGTACTTCGATTCTTGTTTTCAATGTTTACTTTGTTATTACTCTCTAAGTTTGTTGTAATCATGAGTGGCTAAACCCCCTTGGTTAGGGGGAATTCGAAACCATGTACATGCTTGCAATATGATTTGATTACATTCAGTTGTTATTTCATAAGTTGTGGATTCAATTCGTTCATCTATTTGATTGATAACTTATTTGTGTATGTTGATTGAGAGTGCACGCTTAGTTTTCATGCATGAATATGATGCTAGATTATGAGGGAGTTTCACCTAATAGTTACAATCTTATAATCACAAGTAGTGAAGGTCGCTTGAAAACGATCGCGTTGAATGAATTCTTAGCATAAGTTTCATGCAATTCATAGTAACGAATGCTTCGTCAATGCTTATGTTTTTCATAGAACTTAATGATTCTTGCTTGTATCTCTGTTATGCAATTCATGTAGGGAACTTGTAGGGAATGTTTTGGGTTGTCGTATGCAATCATCCAACTTAATAACTTGTGGAAAAACTGAGGGTTAATTAGTGCAATTCACGGTTAATTTGGGGCGTTGAGTATTTATAATTTATTGGAAGAACAACTGAAAATCGTTTTGTTTGCATGTGTGACATGTGTGGAGAAGAACCTCCTAACTAGCCTTTTATCCATCCTTTTTATCCAAAAACATTCTACAATCTGTTTAGTTTAAAGTTTCTGTTTTATGTTAAATTTTCATCCAAAACAAATCCCGCTTTAATTTGAAGTCTTAGATTAGTTAGAAAGTGTTTTGATTTGTGTTTCTAAGTATTTTGATTCAAGTTTTCATCCAATTTTGTCCAAATTAGTGTAGGTGCTCAAAACTGCCCAGAAAGCAAAACTGCCCAGAAAGTGGTTTTTAGGCAGTTTTGAGTTTTCTAGTTACTGTTTTGGGTTTTAGGGTTGTTTAGGTGTTTTAACTTTTAGTTTTGCATTCTTTGAGTCGAGTTTAGTGTTTTAAACTTTGTTTTTGAGTTTTTAAGTCAGTTTCCAAGTGTTTAGCAATCCCTCCTAATCCCCGATCTAGAACGATCCCTCTTACATCTTTACTACAATTTGACAAAAAGAGGGTTTAATTTGTGTGCTTATCTATTTCGCATCAAATTTTTGAAAGAATGGGAGTGCATGTGGCTTAGGTGGTGTAATGATGAAGTGGGAAGTGAAAGAATGTGGTTGGAAAGTGGAAGGGAAGGCACAGCACAAAGGGGGAAGTGTTGGAAATGCATGTGATGCATGGCAATGTTGTCTTTTGGTGCATGTGTGTGTTGAATGGTGTCCTTTAATTATGCACGGTTTAGGGCTGTTAAGGGGAGAGAAATGGGAGTGAATGTGGCTTAATGATGAAGGGGGAAAGCTTGGAAAGCATGTGGCAAGGTTGGTTGCATGATGATGATGCATGTGATTGGTGGGAACAAAGAATGTGGTACACGGCACAAAGGATGTATGTTGGTGTTTTTGTGTTGGTTTGAATGGTTAAATTAATGGGAATGTGGTTGAATGATTAAAGGGACATGTGGGGTGTAATGCATGTGGCTTGTTTGCTTTCTTGGTGAGAGGATGCACGGCATAGAATGGATAGAAAAGGGTTGAGTGGTGTGTGTAATTGCATGTGTGTGCATGTGGAATAAAGAATGAATGGTGGAAATGTGAGTGAATGGTGTGCATGTGTGTGAATGCATGTGGAATTAAGAAGAGTATGGAAGTGAATAAATCATAATAGGGCTAGTTTAAAGGGCTAGGGTTTAAGTACATAGAATGGGCCTAAAATAGGTTGGTTTGCATGGCATAGAATGATTTGATTGGGCTAGAGGTTTTCCATGGCTCAAAGGATTTGTTTGATTGAGCTAGGCCCTTTGTTTTATGTCCCCAAAGAGCATATAAGGCTTCAATTTCGTCCATCCTCTTTGCTCCATGATTAAGCTATCCAATCCATGCCCAAAAGTGCCCCAAATAGCCTCAAAATGAACTTTCTTGCTCCCTAAGCCCTTAGAACCTGAAAACACACAAAAGAAGCATAAAGGACTAAAATAACTAGAGAAACATAACGTAAATGCACGAGAACAAGCCATTTAAGTTGCATGAATATGCTCCTATCAAACTCCCCCACACTTAACTTTTGCTAGTCCTCGAGCAAAACAGAATAAAAACAAATAAACAAAACGGCACTAAACACGTAAAACACAACCTAAACCTTCCAACAACCGTCTTAGGGATTTCCAATGCACATGACATGTTAAAAATCATCATTCTCACAGATTTTAGTCATCTTCACACTTAAGTACATTCTTAATCATAGTCACCACATACTATTTCACAATTAAGCATTTAAAACCATGTTTTGAATGTAGTAACATGCCTTAGAGAATTTGCTCAATTCATCACAAGATATGCATCAATTTTCACTCAGATTTTCTGACTACACCCTACACTAAGTATATGTGAGAAGATTGATGTAAACATGAAACCGAACACTCACATATATGTATCACAAAGAACGCAATTTCTGGAGTTAATAAGCATGTTTAGATATGATCTCATGAATGGAATGCTACTACTTAGACGCGAGAACCAGTGACACCATATGCTCATACCAAGTTCAAACTCCACAAATTGAAACACATAACACTCAAGATTGAAGTCACGGGTTGTAATGGGGTTCGGGGCGTGTGGATAACAAAGAAGGGATATGGAAAACAAAGGTTCTTAAAGAAACAGTGAGCAAAGCACTTGAATCAACTTAGAATTCACTTTTGAATGAAAACTCAACTTTTAAACAAAAAGGGAGAATTTAGACAATTTACGGCCAGAATTGGTGTTTTGAACCCTTTCTTCAATCACTCATTCTTTCATTTTTTTCAAGCTTTTTTTTCTTTCTTTCTTTCTTTTCTTTTCTGTTTTTCTTTTCTTTTGAATCTCAAACATACTTAAAAACAAGCATTCCTTCCCCCACACTCATTTTCTTGCATAATGTAACTCAAAAGGAATTCATTTAAGTCATGCTCACTATCTTTTAAGAACAAGGGTGTGGATTGTCCTAAACTAGGCTAGGTGAGGAAAATGTGGGTTAACAAAGAATAAAGGCTAAACAAAGCTCAACGGGGATAAAACTTACAACAAATACGAAATATGGGAAGTGAGGCTATTTGGCTATGGTGGCAACTACACAACTTCATCTTGATATATGTTATGCAAATCAATAACATGCTTTGAATGAAATGGGCATGAGTTCTAGCATTTAGAACTATATGATGAAACGCCTTCTAAGTAGTAACCAAGCAAAGAATAATGAGATCATGCAATGACTTTAGAAAACAAGAAATCACTGATTATACTCTCCAAAGAACGTTATAGGCTCAAGTCTCTCAGGATTGTAGCGTTTGTTTGAGTTCCTTCCTTCAGGCATGTTACAAAAACGAATTTTTCTTTTATGATTGCATGTGAAGTCATACATTATAACCATAACCAAGCATATACCAAGAGTAAATCAAACTTTTCTCTATGTTTATAACTCTTTTTAACAGTCATGCAATTAGAAACCAAATCCTTATCATTGTGTTGGAAGGTGACCTACGACACAAAAACGACTCAAAACACTCTTTTTAGGCTTTTTAAAACATGTTTTTCAAATTTTTATGTGATTTTCGAATTTTTAAGTCAAAACACACTAAACACACTTAAAAACACACTTAGTTACTAAAGTGTTTTGATGCAAATTCGTAGGGTTTTATCCACCATAACTTCAAATGTTGTTTCTTGCTGTTTTTAAGTGTGTTTAGTGTGGTTTTAAGCTTAAAACATTGTTGATGTATTTTTCCTTCCTAATGCTAGAATATATTTAGTATAATGGCACAAGCAAGGGTGTCGAATCCACAGGGACTAATTGGACCTATGTAATTACTTGTTTTGCAAGAACTCTAAGAAATGAATCAAACTAATCAAACTAGGCATATTAAGAAATGAATCAAACTAATCAAAATAGGCAGATTTGTTGTTGTAACTTGAAAGTATAAGAAAATGAAGTAAACACAACTAAATGAATCAACAACTAATACAATGAAATAGTTCCAATGGAAATGAAGCTAGGGATTCGGTTTCACCATTGCTCAACTAAGTCCATGTTTGTTAAGTTAGTTTGTACTCATTCATCTACCTATTTCTTGAGTTTGTTTGACTTGGACATGATCAACCATATGATGTGTGGATTTGATCAAATGTCTCTAATCATGAACCTAATTGTGATGTGCAACTTTGGTTCATAATCAAGGGTATGTAATGCACAAGAAACTTTCATAAAACCAAAGGGAATAACTCGGCAGGATGTTTGCTAAACATTCCCTTCATTCATTCACATATCTACCAAGATTATGCATGATGTGTGTTTTAATCTTGGCTACACAACTTTGTGATTAATTCAAATGATGATCAAACATTAAAATCAACACACTAAGTCACCATTAAATCAGAGAATGAAACAAGAAATAGATGGACAAACTGAGTATTCTAACTCAATTACATGGCAAACTTTGCAAGGTTACATCGAATCCCTAGATGAAGATTAGTTACACTTCATGTTTACAAAGGTTTAACATAAAAATAAATAACATGAGTGACATGGAATTAAGAAGAATAAACCCTTGAAGCAAAACTGATTTTGAAGTCCTTGAGGAGTGGCCTTCGGGGTTGGTTCTCCAAGTATGATGCAAATGAACTAGATCCGCTTGGTATGTTCTCTAACCAAATGGGAGAGCAAATGGGCAGAGAATGGACAGAGAATAGGGTGAAATGGAGCGGCTATGGGTGAATAAAATGGAATGAATGCAGAACCCTTTGATGTGTGAAGTGTGACTTGTTTTATAGAAAGGAATGTGGCTCCAACATTCAGATTGGATCTCAATCTGCACAAGTGAGATGGAATAGCATCAAATGAGCTGGAATTGAATGGGTTTCTGAGGTGTTGGTCGCACGGCATGGACAAGGTCTGCAAGTATGTGGTTTGTTTAATCAAAATGCATGTGCCCTTGCTGCAACAAGTGAGTGGAATCTGCAAAGGTGAATTGTTTGTACAAATTCTGGAAAGGTGAAGAAAGCACACGGCATGGAATGATGGGATGAGTGATTTTCTGGAATAAAGGATGCAAGGAATGGACATGATCTGCAGGTATGTGGTATATTTAATCAAGATGCATGTGGATTTCTGCAAAGATGAAGTGGAGAAAGGTAATGGAATGCATAATCTGACTTGCAATCACATGGGAGTGCACGGCATGATTGTGTTTGTTGGTGTCGAAATGGCTGAATGAATTAAGTGATGGAAATGGGTGTTTTTGGCGCAAAAGGGAGATGGACAAGTAGTGGAATGCACGGCCAGATTGTGAGGAATCTGATTTGGTGCTAGAAGTGCATAAAATGATGGGATGATATGGGAACACACGGCCAAGGTTGTGACATGCATGTGAATGCATGTTTTGGTGTTGGAACACACATAGCTGACTTCAATGATTTTGCCTTGTTTAGAATCACCCAATATGGCCGAATTGCATTTCTTAACACTTCACATCTTTTCTGGAATGTTTTTACTTCATTTGCTTTCCCATTGATCCAAATTCATACTTGGCTGCACACTAACACCAAATAATGTAAAATGCAACTAGTTTAATCCAAAACAATCACAAAGACGCCAAATAAGGAAGATATAAATGTATGCAAAATGTGACTTATCAAATACCCCCAAACCTGGTTTTTGCTAGTCCTCGAGCAAACTTAAAACTAAAACACACAAAACACAAACATCTAACTAAACCACTTTCGCTGGCTAAACGATTGCACTGAGCATGTGCAACAAGCCTTTGAACCCCTAGGTGCCCCTAGTTGGAGGAGTTGTGTCTCCTGAGGGTTTACAGTGATGACACCCACAAACATCTACAAACACTGCAAACAATTTGGCTAAAACATGCTTTAAACAAACTAATAAGAATCAATGAAGGTTTTATCATTCATTCAACTCAAAAGTTTGCCACTTCAAAGAATCGTATCAATTGTAACGTATAAAGATATTTCTCCATGTCTTACAACTTCAAGGTCACCATACCCAAATGCTTAAGATAGAATTCGCCTCAACTCTACTCCTCACAGCTTCCACTCAAGTTTTCACTCAGATCTTAAGGTTTAGTCTCTCAACAACATATATGAGTGAAATTATGTAAAGGAAATCAAAATTCTCACATATGAAATCTGAAATGGAAGCACAGTTTCTGAGTAGATCTCATGAAATGAATCAAATGCTAAGAATATAGATGACACACACACTTACCATCACCCATGAATATATCCTCAATGATCAGCTAGGTCTTTCTCAAGGTTGTAATGCAAGGCTTAGGGTATAGGTTATGAAAGACTTGATATGAAATGCTAGAGTTTGGGGCATACCAAGGAGTCTTTGAGGCTCTTCACTGGCATTTGTCTTCTTTAGCTTTTTGGCGTCCAGACCCTATGCTTTATAATTAGGCGATTTGGAATTTGTATCCACTTTGATCCTCTTTTTTTTTTTCTCTTTTTGTTTTTAGAAACATTTTCAACATAGGTGCCCTCGGTATACGCCACAATCTTGCTTTATAATTCAATCTGCCCTTAGTCTTCATCACATTGATATTCTCCAAACTATAAGGTATGGCTTGTAATGGGCTAGAATGGGTAGATTATGGTGTAGGTGATGAAAGAATTAGGCTAAAGTGTTTGGCTGCAATAAGGGTGAATGGAGCACACAAATGGGTAGGATTTAAGCCTTTTAGTAGTTAAACATGCATAGCCTAACATCATCTCATTGAGTTCATTCATGAATGATTCTAAACACATGGTATCTGCAAAGGAGAATGATTCTTAGTATCCAAACAAAATAGAAGTAATGAGATCATTTAGAGTGAAATTGAAAGAAAAAGATAGGAGTAGAAACACTTTAAACCCTCTCAAAGAAGCAATTAGGCTCAAAATAACTCACTAGGGTAGTCTCCACTATTCTTCTTCCAGAATTTAAGTATGGTACCTCTATCATCATAATTCCAAGAGTTATAGTTTTATACATGACAACAAGATGCAACATTTTTTCATAGCAACCCAATCGTTTGTTTTCAAACATAGCCCTCATATACATTCATATTAGCAAGCAAAAACACACTTAACCCAAACAAAAACACAAAAACAAACAACCCAAAAATAAACTTTCAACATTCTTACCCAAACTAACACATAAAACAAATACAAAACACATACAAAACACAAAAACTTCCATCCCACACCCCCAAACCTAACCTAAGCATTGTCCTCGATGCTTAAAATTGTATGCAAAGTAAATAGGCAAAGAATATGGAATGGAAATAACATAAACACAAAATAAGGAAAGAACACAAACCACACTAGGTTGCCTCCTAGCAAGCGCTTTATTTAATGTCTAGGCAAGACATTGTAGCTTGTTCATGGTGTTGTAAACTCAAGAAAATCTACAACTTGATACACTGGCTCTTCCTCCAATTTCTCTAAATATGGTTTCAATTGCTGCCCACTGACTTTAAAAGAGGTGCCATTCTTCATGTTCTCTATCTCCACAGCTCTATGGGGAAATGTTTGCAGCACTTTGAATGGTCCCACCCACCTAGACTTCAGTTTTCCTGGAAAAAGTCTCAAACGTGAGTCGTACAAAAGTACTTTCATACCTTGGTGAAACTCCTTCCTTAGGATGGCCTTGTCATGATAGAGCTTAGGCCGTTCCTTGTAGATTTTGGCATTCTCATATGCCTCATTTCTAAGTTCTTCAAACTCATTAAGTTGGAGCTTCCTTTCTATTCCAGCATCCTTGTAATCAAAGTTGAACTTCTTGATGGCCCAATATGCACGGTGTTCAAGCTCCATTGGCAAATGACAAGCTTTCCCAAACACAAGGCGATAAGGACTCATGCCAATGGGGGTCTTGTATGCTGTTCTATATGCCCATAGTGTATCATTCAACCTCAATGACCAATCCTTCCTTGTAGGACTCACAGTCTTCATCAGAATGTTCTTGATCTCCCTGTTGCTAATCTCCACTTGTCCTGAGGTTTGAGGATGGTATGGGGTTGCCACTTTGTGGTTGATGTTGTATTTCTTCATCAAGGATTCAAACGGTTTGTTGCAGAAATGGCTGCCACCATCACTAATAATAGCTCTTGGGGTTCCAAACCTACAAAAAATCACATCTTTAAGAAAATTCAACACAACCTTATGATCATTAGTTCTTGTAGCAATGGCTTCAACCCATTTGGATACGTAATCAACTGCCACTAATATGTATAAGTAGCCAAAAGAGGATGGAAATGGTCCCATGAAATCAATTCCCCAAACATCAAAGAGCTCCACCACCAAAATGTTGTTCAATGGCATTTCATTTCTTCGGCTAATGTTCCCTATTTTCTGGCACCTATCACACTTAGAACAAAAATCAAAAGCATCTTTGAAAAAAGTAGGCCAAAAGAAACCAGATTGTATGACTTTTAGAGATGTCTTTTTGGCACCAAAATGTCCTCCACATGCCTATGTATGGCTGAATGTTAGAATGCTTTGTTGCTCACTCTCTGGGACACATCTCCTAATGATTTGGTCAGGGCAATATTTAAACAAATATGGTTTGTCCCAAACGTAGTGCTTTACCATGGCCAGGAACTTCTTTCTTTCCTGAAAAAAAAGGTCATTTCTCATTACACCATAAGCCAGATAATTAACAAAATCAGCATACCATGGTTCTTGTTCTTGAACAACAAGGAGTTGTTCATCTAGAAATGATTCATTTAGGGGCAAGGGTTGCCCCACTCCATGGTTTTCATTAAGTCTGGACAAATGGTCAGCCACAACATTATCACTGCCCTTCTTATCTCGAATTTCCAAGTCAAACTCTTGTAGTAAGAGTATCCATCTAATCAAGCGTGGTTTAGCATCATTCTTTGTCATCAAGTACCTAAGGGCTGCATGATCAGAAAACACAATAACTTTAGATCCCACAAGATATGACCTAAACTTTTCTAAGGCAAAAACAACAGCAAGCAACTCCTTTTCAGTTGTGGAATAGTTAAGTTGAGCATCATGCAGAGTCCGGCTTGCATAGTAGATCACATGTGGAAGTTTGTTCACCCTTTGCCCTAAAACTGCACCAACAGCATAGTCAGAGGCATCACACATTAATTCAAAAGGTAAAGACCAATCTGGTGCCATAATAATAGGGGCCGAGGTTAGTTCATTTTTCAAAGTATTGAATGCATCCATACAAGCCTTATCAAAATGAAATACAACATCTTTAGCTAACAGATTGCACAATGGACGAGTGATCATTGAAAAGTTCTTAATGAAACGACGATAAAAACCCGCATGGCCCAAAAAACTTCTTACTCCCTTCACAGTGGTGGGGGCTACCATATTGGTGATGACGTCAATTTTGGCTTTGTCCACCTCCATTCCTTTGCTAGAGATTACATGCCCCAACACAATTCCTTGTTTCACCATAAACTGGCACTTTTCCCAATTGAGAACCAAATTTGTTTCCTGACATCTTTGAAGTACTAAAGATAGATGGTTAAGACATTCATCAAAAGAGGAACCAAACACTGAGAAGTCATCCATAAATACCTCAATGAACCTTTCTACCATGTCAGAAAAGATCGCCAACATGCATCTTTGGAATGTTGCTGGAGCATTGCAAAGTCCAAAAGGCATTCTCCTATATGCAAATGTGCCAAAGGGGCAAGTAAAGGTTGTTTTCTCTTGATCCTCCGGAGCGATTGCGATTTGATTGTAACCTGAGTATCCATCCAGAAAACAATAATGTGAGTACCCTGCCAATCTCTCAAGCATTTGATCTATGAAAGGCATAGGAAAA